GAATCGGTCGATGACTGTGAGGCCGTATCTGTACCAGAAGAAATTGGCAATGGTCCTACAATGTCCATATGGACGTGAGAAAAACGGTTAGTAGGAGATGAGAAAGGAGTGAGAGGGGATGAAGTGTGGCCGAAAACTTTGGAACGTTGGCAATCAGTGCATTCCCTGGTCCATTTATGACAATCCTTTTTTACACCGGGCCAAACAAATCTTTCAGTGACCATCTTCGTAGTTGCTCTGGCACCGGGATGACTCAATCGATGGCAGATATTAAATATCCTCTTGCGGAAAGAGTCGGTTATGTATGGCCTTGGTTTAGGTGTGGATATGTCACAATAAAGATAGTAATCTCCATACTTCATTCTTGTGAGTTGTAGTGAACAACCATCACTTAAAAGGGTTTGCAGTTCAGGATCATTTTCCTGAGAAAATGCAAGGTCCTTGTAATCAAAAGGTTCTGATCTACTCTGGAGAGGGCGTCTGCTACCACGTTTTCCTGGCCGGTTACATATCTGATGTCCGTTGAAAATTGGGAGATGTAATTCAGGTAACGGAACTGGCGTGGTGGGCAATTTTCGCGTCTTGACGAAAAAGCGAATGTCAGTGGCTTATGATCTGTGAATAAGGTGAACGGTCTGGCTTCCACCATATGACGAAAGTGACGAATTGCGTCATATATCGCCAGCAGTTCACGATCATAAGTGCTGTATTTCCTTTGAGAAGGATTCAAGCATCGAGAGAAAAATGCTAGTGGCTGCCAACCATCGTTAACTCGCTGCTGAAAAACTGCTCCAATTGCGGTGTCTGATCCATCCGTGTGAAGAGCGAGTTCTGCATCCGGGTGTGAATGTGCCAGTAAGGCTGATTTGGAGATGGCTGACTTACATAACTCAAAAGAATATTTCATATCAGGAGTCATGTCGATCGGCTGTGTTGACTTTTGTTTTGGTCCAGCCAAAACAGCATTTAATGGTGCTTGCGCTGCTGAAGCACCTGGGATGAACCGTTGGTAAAAATTGTACATACCGAGAAAACGGCGCTGTTTCTTCACGTTCTTCGGTAGCGGATAATCTAGGATTGCTTGGACTTTATCTCTTAAGGGTTGGATCCCGTCTGCTGTAAGATTGTGTCCAAGGAAGGTGATGCTGGCTTTTCCGAACTCACACTTTGAAGTATTAATAAGCATGCCGTAATCTGTCATGCGCTGGAATAACTGCCTTAGGTGTTCAAGATGCTCTTCCTTGCTTCTGGAAAAAATAAGTATATCATACAGGTAACCATATACGAACGGCAAACCTTTGAGTGCCTCGTCCATAAAACGTTGAAAAGTTTGAGCAGCACCTCTTAAACCCGACGTCATAAATGGGAACTCAAACAAACCGAACGGAGTCGTGATCGCAGTCTTACACACATCAGGTGGATACACTGGTATCTGATTATAAGCTTTCACCAGGTCGACTTTCGAAAATATTTTACTTCCTGCTAATTGGTGTGTGAAGTCTTGGATGTGCCGTAAGGGATAACGGTCAGGAACAGTGCGAGAATTGAGTGCTCGGTAATCACCGCAAGGTATCCAACTGTTATCTTTTTTCGGAGCGAGATGTAGTGGAGAAGACCAAGCGCTTTCTGACCGGACTGCTATTCCACTCTGCAGCATTTCCTCGAACTCCTTTTGAGCGATCTTTAGGTGATCTGGTGGAAGACGGCGTGGATGACTTGAAACGGGTGGTCCCGGCGTAGTCCTTATGTAGTGCATGGTATTATGCTTACCAGGTATATGCGTTCCAGCTGGCCGAGTTATCTCAGGGTACTCACGTAAAATGTCATGGTAGCTGACCTCTCCTGAGATGACCTTCACGGAAGAGACACGTTCCGTTGCTTTGCAGGCTGGTGCCGGAGTGAAGAGCGAAGTGAGTGAATCAACCAGACGCTGGTGTCGAACATCTACTAAAAGGTTATAAAATGATAAGAAATCAACTCCAATTATAGGTTTCGACACGTCTGCTACGACGAATCTCCAACGAAAACTGCGTCTTAACCCCAGATTAAGCTGAAGCTCCACCCAGCCGTACGTAGGGATTATTGTCCCGTTGGCCGCAAACAACTCGTAATTAGTCTTAGTTCGCTGTTCTCGTAACATCTTTTTAGGATAAACACATAAGTCCGAACCAGTATCGATAAGGAAACTTACGTGCGTATATTTGTCCACGATGAAAAGGCGGCCTGTAGAGTTAAGACAGCCGTGAGCCGCTACTTCCGACTGCCTGATGCATTTCCCGACGACGAATTGAAGTTGCACGGTGTTATACATCTGTTGGCTCTAAAAACAAATTTATTGTGATACCAACATACCCTCCTGTCGAATGATTTTGATCTTGCACGTGGACGGCGACGGTTTCCATTATGGTCACGTGACTTCGAGCGGGGTCGCGAGCGTTCCGAATTCAATTGGCTACGCAAAGAAGCTACTTCCTTGGTTAACTCGGCTATTTGCGTTGCTGTATCATTTGAATATGAATTATTACTATAGGTCGCAACTTGTGGGGTACACTGTACGATGTCGTAGATACAATCAGCGAGTTCAGCAATTTCCTCTAACGATAATTTACGCTGTGAAGCTACTGCGGTTTGCATATGTGAAGGTAACCGACCTGCCCATAATGTCCTTATGAAGTCTTCTGGCACCGATGGACCGGCCAGCTTCTGCAGGTGGCGTAAAAATTCGGACGGTTTTCGGTCTCCGAGTACCTCGTCGTTGAGAAGTTGTTTAACTTTGGCTTCCTGCGAAATGGACAATCTTTTCATTAGCTCGGTTTTTAATTTTTCGTATTTACCTTCTGCCGGTGGTTTTTTAATGATATCCGATACATGTCGTGCGTATTGCGGTTCCAAATTTGACGTTATATAGTAAAACTTCGTAGAATCTACGGTTATTCCGGCGATTATAAATTGTCCCTCAATCTGCGCGAACCAAACTTCTGGGTCTTCTGGCCAAAAAGGAGGAATACGGACTCCTACTTTGTTAACTTCCGTCATTCTTTTTCTTTGTTGTGCGCGGTCGCGGACGTAGCGGTCGAATGAAGGACGTGTTGCGAGTTTCTAACGGGGTCACCAATATGGGTGCCCTACCAGGTTATTAATTTAAACACGGCGTACAGGACACTCATAAACTATATTTTCAATAAATATAGACACACGTTAACAAACGAATAAAATTGAGGAAGATACAGCACAGAAGTTAGATAAAGCGAAGGCGACAGAAAAGAATACTTAAAACAGACAAAGGAAATTATTAAAGCAATTGCACGAGCGTATAGCGGGCCGTACTGATTGAAAATCTAGCGTGCATTCGCCGTGGTGTAGTGCAGCCGACTGATGTTTCCTGCGTCCGCGCCACTGGTCGTCGCGCGGACCGTGTAGGCACGTACACTCCAACGCGCAGCTGTATTATACAGCGCACCATCGCGCGCTTCGCTTGCGCCCCTTTTCCACCCGCGCGTCATCAATATTTAGTGGTCCCGACACTGGCATAGAATCTCCCTTTCACAGTTTTGGTTTGTTGCCACAAATTATCCCAAGTTTCCATTAAATAAGGTTTGGCCATAGAGCACAGATCGTGTACTGGGATGCTGGAGTGACATGGGTCGCCTATCGCAATAGCTTATTTGGCATAATAATCAGCCGCTTCATTACCCAGAATACCCACGTGGCCTGGAACCCAGGCTAGGACAGTTTCAATACCCTCTCTTTGTAACTCTCTTTATACTGCTTTTTTTCTGTTTTAAACGTATTTTAGTTAATGTTTGTATAATTATAATGCTCGTATTTCACATTTAGTTTTGTAAAAGTTTTTTGGTTTTTGTCTCTACTGCCTGTTGTAAAGCAGTTTTTACCTATAATTAAGGTACCACTCATCACTTTTTTGCATACCTTGTATAATTATTCTGTCACAGCGTGTACTTTGTTGGTGATAAAAAATAAATAAATAAATAAATAAATTGAGGAGTGGCGTTTACAGTGGAAGGGAAGTTTCTTTAAATCCTCCAGACAACTACGGGTGTCATTGAGGATCAAAGTCTTACGAAAATGGGATTGGTTAGTATCTATATACTTGAATGCTTCTAAAATGGCTACTGATTCACCTGTAAAAATTGAAAATTCTGAAGGACATTTAAAACTCAAAACTACACTGTACTTTGGTATATAAACGGACGCACCAATAAGGGACGAGTCTGTTTTTGAAGCATCCGTGAATATCAGAACCCAGTTCGCCCATTCATTCTTCACGGGCAAGTTAAATTTCCGGTTAGCATCTAAGGTATTCTTGTCGATGCCAATGTTTAAAATAATATTAGGATTAAAAATTAAAGCATCATAACTGATAGTAAAAAGAGGGTGGTTTTAAGCAGAGAACAGAGAAATGAGAGGAATTATGTCTATTATAACTATTTACTAGTAAAGGATGGGATTTGTTTGACCAATAAGGAGACAAGTTAATTTTTTTTTCTTTAAAAAAACATTGCCCTCACTTTAGGATACAATTATCCTGTATTGTAAGGACGTTTTACAAACATAAATTGCACGAGGACAAACATCCACACGCGAAACAACTATCTGTAGGTTGCACAAATAGTTGTCCAGTGTGGGGATCGAATCACGACCCCCGACGCCGAAGCCAATACCTTGGAAACTGCGCCACGGAGTCATCAATTAGTTATCAAAAGTTAATAAAGCGAGAAAAGAGACTTAAGGATTTTAAAATGGGATGAGAGGGGAACTGAACAGCTTTGGAGATAAATCTATCAGCAAGAAACTGTCTACGGCAGTTTAAAGGAGGTTCCTTTGCAAATCGTACAATTGACAAATGACAATTGATTGACATTTGACATTGTCATTACTAAGTGTTTCACCGTGTTTCGCACAAAAACAAATGAACTGTGATACATTTTTATGCTCTTTAATATTAACTTGCTTTTCAGTATTAATCTTAAATATTCAAAATGATGGCAGGAAAAGGTATTTTGTTGTCATGTATTTTTTAAAGGAAGTAGTGAATGTTTGATATATTATAAATAGATATTGTCGTGGTAACGTTATTTCAATAACTTCATTCAGTTTTTATTAAATACCATATATGGCTACTTATAATCTTTGATGTTCATATAATGCACCAGACAATATTATGGTATTAAAGAACATGAAAGTATTTAACAACAGTTTTTTTAGAAATAAAGTGTTGGATGAATTGTTGTCTCTGTGACCCGCTCATGACTTATGTTATTTTATTTTTCTTTCGAACCTTTTTGTTACAGTTATGGCAGAGACGGAGGAACAGAGCCGAATACGATTTCAAGTGGAACTTGAATTTGTACAATGTTTAGCAAATCCAAATTACATTCACTGTGAGAACCTAAATTTTATATTTGGTATTTTTTTCCATTAGTACCGGGTGTTTTACGACTTACCAAAATTTTTTTTCGGTAGAGAACAATCACTAATCAAATAATCAATGAGCAGAATTTTCTTGTCAATTATAGTTTTTGAAAAAAATAATATTAATAACTTGTTATTTTCACTAAGAAAGTTCGTCATTTTTAGCGTTCCTTACCCTTAGGATAAGGAACCCTAAAACCCAAAGGCCTTATTATTAAGACTCTGCTGTTTGTCTGTCTGTTCGCCCATCCATCTCACCAGGTTCTAACTCATGAATCATGATAGTTAGACAGTTGAAATTTTCACAGATGATGTACCTATTTATGTTGTTGCATGCTTATGTTGTTGTTATAAACAGATGCTAAAACAGAATAAATAAATATTTATGTGGGGAACCTATACAACAAATATAATTTTTTTTGCTGTTTTTATAGATAATGGTATGGGAACCCTTCATGCGCGAGTCTGACTCGCACTTGGCCGGTTTTATTAATTTGACTTCATAACCTGAATATACAGGTGATAGTAATCAACATGATAAATGTAGGAAGCGAAGCTAGAGGCTCGCATTGGACATGTCAGGCACTCAGGGGCGATATAGCGAGAGTACTTGCGAAGTGCATGGAAGAGTCAAATTTAATAATAAACTAATAAGCATATAATAAGACATGTTGTCAACAAATTGGCGGATTTCTTTAGTGAATAGCAAGTTTAAATAGATTTTTTCATAAAAAATATATGCGACCAGGGAATTCTGCTTGTTGATTAATTCATTAGTGATATTTTTTCTATCATTACATTTTTTTAAATTGCAATATAGCTTTTCTAAGTATATCCATTTTTTTTAGTAAATTCTTAACATAAATAATGTTATATAAAAAATGATAAATATTTTAAATCACTAGTAATTAATTAATTACATGTATTTATTCAACTTATCTCAAAAAGTGTGTGATTTATGGGCAACTCATTTATTTAACGCTTCTTGTATATTGTATTAACTGATGTTTTTGCTTTCAGTCCCGAGACTATTAAAGCTTCATCTGACGCAGAACCGGTGGGCTAGCCAGAACCCACGGGTTTGAGCCCTCCACTGTAGGTAGGGCCGCGCATGTGCTCATGCGTGCGTTTAACTACGACATGTCATCTAAGGGCCATCGAAGTTGCGGTGCGGACCGAGACCCCGATGGCCGTCGACTGTGTTTTTAGCTAATCGGTGGCTGGGGGCGGTGAGAACCGCCCTGGAACGCGGGTGTACCTTGTGTACGCGTTGTATTGGTCTCGCCGTGCTCGGAGGCGAGGGCGAACTATTGTGTTTATTTTTTTATTACACTAGCTGAGGGTGTAGTGTTATCCGGCGGGACCCCCGGCGGTGGGTCCGGCGTCCCCTTCCTCGACCGGGTCGATGAGGACGTTTCGCGGGCGACGCTTGTTGATGTTCGCGTTTGTGTCGGGTTGGTAATTTGCTTCGCTTACCACCAGAGGGTTGGGATGATGTTCGGCTCTATCGAAGAACCGTTTGGTCAGGTCTTTAAAATATTCGCGAATTGTCGGGAATCTGCAATCGCTGTGCAGATCAACGTTGCGTTGATACCACTGCGCACCGGTTGCACGGCGGATGAACTTATTTTGTACTATTTGCAGCTTGTACAAGCGAGTAGGGTGCGTGTGGGCGAAGATCATGCATGCGTAGGTCGTACGCAGGTCTTATATAATAATAATTTGTGCCTTAAGGGCATTTTACTTTCAGCGTTAGTTAAATTGTGTAGCCGGCCGGAGACGAACGCGGCTCTATTACGAACGTTATTAATGTGCGTAATAAATGATATACGCGAGTCGAAAGTGACTCCTAAGTATTTGACCTTTTTCTCCCAGGGGAGCGGTTGGACATAAAGGGATATTTATTTTACGCGCGATCATTCATAACTAACATGCACACAAGTTCGTTTCAAAAGTATACGACGCGTTTATGAATGACTACCGCATTGTCAACAAGTTCTGCTTTTTAGGGAATAGAATGGCAATTTTTTTGAAAAAGAAAAAGTGTTTTATTTCAATAAACGATTATACTACCGAGTCTGAACCTCCTGCGTGAATTTAGGCAGCTTTAGCAAAGCCGCGCTGTATAATCAAAAATTTTACTAATATTTTTTGTGTAGTATATTTCTTGGATGTTACTCAATATTTTTTTAATTATATTATATCTATTTGTTGTAATGGGGTTTTAAAACTTTGTAAATATTTTTTTTGTTCAACTCATATTATTTAATGTTTAACTGTAAGCTAATGTAAATGTATTCATATTAGCTTACAGTTAATAAATATAAGTTAATAATTATATATAAAATGTATTCAATACCTCTTAAATTAAATTTAAGATTATTGAAATTCTTGAAAATTTTTAGAATAATTTATTTACTTCTTTTAAATTTCATCTTAAGTGCAGAGAAGAGACTACTGCTAAAAATATAAAATAAGAATAAATTTAAAATTATAACTTTTGAAAATACTCTTGTTTTTTAATATTTATATTTATCTTTCTTGATTGAATTAAATTCAAAATTGCAAAGATTTGCTGTTACAAAATCTTATAGACATGTTTGTAACTCGATTTGACTCTCATTTACAGTGGACCTACTCCATCCACATTATATATTACTTACAAATGTCAGAACCATCCATAAAGATTATTATCATTTTGTTATAGATTCCATACACTTTGTTTGGGTTCAAACCCCTTTAATTTGGGGTAAGGCCATTTTACTAGTGTAATTAACTATGTTTAAAAAGTCTATTGCTTGTTTTCTAGTTTTAGCACAGCGAGGTTACTTAAAAGAGCAGACATTTGTGAATTACTTAAGATATCTGCAGTACTGGCGTGAGCCAGAATATGCACGCTACCTCAAATATCCAATGTGCTTGCATTTCCTAGAACTACTTCAGCATGAGGCCTTCAGAAGAGAATGTGTTTCAGCACAGGTATCTTAAATCATATTGTAATTACATCTTCTTTTTCCTGCCCTACATTATCTGTGGGTCATACTTGTCTCATGTGGGTATGGAACCTACTGTCCCCAATATAAAAGTAGGACTAAATTTTTTTAAAATGTCATCCATATTATGAAATTTCTTACATTATTTATATTCATTGATTTAAAGAAATCTTATAAATATCAATTTTAATTTGCCCCATATATTTTGTTTATAAATTTTACAAGAATTTTCAAAGCTTTCAAAGTATACAAATTGCCCAGAAAGACGATGTACGAGGTTTAAAATCTATGAAATTATTTTAGTTTTAAAAATGCTTTGTTTTAAATGTTCTAGTACAAAACATTTAAAACTTAATTTAATAACATTTTTAAAACTATTAATGATATCAATATTTTTTTATTAATGACTTATTATATTTTTATTAATGACATACTTTATTTTTATCTATATCAGGTTTGTAAATTTATGGATGACCAAGCTATTTTGCTCTGGCAACATTATACTAGAAGAAGAACACGTACACTGCAACCAGCTGATGCACCGGCACCCCCTGCACCTCCAGCCACAGCTCAACAAGGACCTCCAAGACAGCAATCATAAAAGAACATTAAAGAATGAACTACTAAGAGTATTAAAGTATGAACTATGAAAGTATGAATTATCTATATTTGTATATGATATTAAATATGCTATAATAACAAAGGATGTTTTTGTCTTCCATGATTAATTAAATGATCACTTCGCTGGCTCAACGACCCAAAGAGGATCTCGGCCTCCGACACTAAAAAACGCCATTGCTCTGTATAATGTGGGCTGTTTTTTGTCAGTTATCTGATTGGAGAACACTCAGATCTTTGTGGACATCATGTTTCCAACGATATCTGGGGCGACCAACAAGACGCTTCCCTTTAGGTTGCCTCTTATATGCTCTCTTGACTGCGCGATCCTCCCCCATCCTCTCCAAGTGGCCGAGCCAACGAGCCTGGCGGCCTTCGTTTCGTCGATAATGCTAGGTTAGTGCACTAGATGTTCTATTCCCCTATTTTTCCTCCATTTCCACTTGCCATCCTCGTCTTTCACCGCTCCCAGAATTTTCAGCAAGTTCTTGCACTCCGCCACTAAGAGGTGGTTCTCTTTCGTTAACGTAAGCGTTCAAGCTTCACAGCCATACATTAAAATAGGTCTAATCTCGGTATAGAAGTCTATCTTAAACAGGTATCTAAGTTCTCCTGCTAAAGAACTAAGAAGTTAATGCAAGGCTGCTGTGCATCTTAGGGCGATTTGTGTGCAAACGCAAACTTCTGAGAAGGGAAGAGAAATATCTGACCTAGAAGAGCTGAAGGAGTGGCACCAATACTTTAAACGACAACAGAATTGTGCACCTACATGCTGCCAGACAGTGATGGATGAGCCCAGTATGAGCTATGAAAGTCAAATTGAACCGTTGGACTTTGAAGAGGTGCCAGCGCTATTATGAGACTTAAGAACAAAAAATCCCCGGAAATTGATGTGTACCGAGTGAAATTTGGAAGTATGGTGGAGGAGCAGTGCAGTCAATTGTAGCTAAAATCTTGAACGATGAATGCCAGCCAAAAGAGTGGAATGCGGAATAATCTGACACAAAATGCACTGCTCTCATTAGCGTACAGAGTACTGTCTCATGTATTACTAAAAACCATCTTGGGTGAATACCGGGTTGGCTTGGCGCAACAGGAGTGGTGTAGACCAAATATTTTTCTAAAGCAGCTGATGGACAAGAACGTGGCACTAGTACGAAAGTCCAGACCGTGGAAGCATGGTGGACGTCCTTAAGTTGGAGGGCGAAAAGATCGGTCTCAGAATTAACCTCGACAAAACTGAATACCTACAGGTTGAACGCTACAACAATGTCAGAGGAAGGCGGGATGACTCCGTTCTTCGTCAGATAACTAATTAAACTACAGATAAGAAATTAGGGCGTTAACCTGTTTAAGTACTGTTTAACTTACGGCAAGAGGACGTAAAAAATAGGAACATATAAATAAGAAAAATATATTTAAGATATAATTTGATTAACGTTACAATTTCTTAAATTAATTAATTACATTTTGTGTTAAATTGGTTAAAACTTTTTGGTATGCGAATGAAAATATATGAAATGTTTATTATGTTCCTATTTACTTTCAACAAACTTCAAAAAGAAAGAAGCATTCCATTGAATAGTATTTTCGTTCGTTATAAATCGTTCGTTTGAAATCTAGAAATCAGTCACTTACAAACCCATTTGAAAATTATTTTTTAGTTGAAATTAGTATTTTCAGGGGCAAATGGGACCCTTTTAAGCTAATTTCCATTGGGCCCACTTGTATTGTATACCCACATCTGTTTATCTTGTCATGGATTAAAGTAATTTCGATGGAAGATGGAGGCTGTTCCCTTTTATTACCGTGCTGTATCTATTTTATAAATGGATGCGTGGGTTTCCGCCGCCTCGCCATACAGTAAGCTCGCAGGGTCAAGAAGTAGATAATTTCCACGACGCTCATAATACTAAAGCCCATGCAGAGGCCTAACAGACCCCCTGTATTTGCTGTGGAAGACTTTTGCATTATATTCGTATATATACATAGCTAAAATATTATTTTTTTATAGTACTTACAGAGAAATTCTGTTAGTCCAAATATCTCTCCTTTCGTAAATCTCATAAATGTGTTGTCCTCAAAGTAGAAGTGGACCACTAACATATTTTCTCTGCAAAGAACATTCGGATTTCGTTAGAAAAATGTTTTTTATTTTCATTTATACATACAATTGCCTAATACGATATTGTATGTATAGTATAGCAATATTTAGCAGAATTTATTTCAAGCCATAAAAGGATCCTATTAAATTCAACTATCAATGTCTATGAGAGGCGATTTTCAACCCATCGTGCGCCGCGCCGGAACACATCACACATTGTGGAAACTTGCATGGTGCAGCACGATCGCCAACAAATGCGAGATCCCCGATTCGCAGCCTACATATTATATCCTTGTGAGCCTGGCCGCTTTTGAACGCTTACGTCGTGTCTGTATAGTTATTTAACACCGAATCTGCATACGATGGTCGTTTCTTTGCGTAGTTACTTACGAAACTTTTTGCTTTCGTAAAAAATTCTTATCGTCAGTAGATTATTTTCACAAAGGCCCTTGGATTGAGTCTTGCCCCCAAGTTAGTCGAATTCCATCTTTTGTTTACAGGTTTGGCGGATTGGTCCGGTATGATCGTGTCTTCGTCTTGCACCAGCTATATGCTGTTTCTCATGTGCGGGTTGTTTTTACTGAGTCGTGTCGGGTGAGTTAACCGCGGATTTCTTCCGACAAAGCATACAATAAAAACTACACTTAAAAAAATTATCTGTGCGCTAGTATACTCACAGCGAAATGGTTGTGGGTCTTGTTAGAACTTACCTCGTAGCTTTCTTACGAACGTATTCATTTTTATGTAAAATGTTGACGTTTAATAAGAACGCGCCAGCGTCTATGTTAATAAATATATTTTTGATTTTACGTATATAAGCGATTAAATTTACCTACTTGTGTACTAATATCAGTGTATGTTCCAAGATCGACTGTACAAAAATTCGTTGTTTGAAGTTTTTGAAGTATTCAGAACTATTAAAATTCAGCACCACTGCAACTTTCAGTTCTTACGTGAAATATTCCGGAGTCCGATTTCGTAGTATTGAGGAGTATTGTCCGATTAATGCCTTGTTGAGAGGCGCCGTGCTTTGGCGTTCGAAGTATGCGATCTCATTACAGGCTGGTAGGCACTCATTGCATGCTGTTTGGCTATCTGCTTTTATAAAAACGTTTGTATGCAGTAAGATTATAGTTGAATGTTATTAACGATTTTTTATTAAAAATATACTATAAATGAAATACGTAATTTACAAAACAAATTCATATTGGCTTAATTCTAAATATACTGTTCTTCTAAGCGTTATATATTTCTTGCGTCGAATAGAAGTTTTTTAAATGTATGAGGTATGCCTCCCACTTTAAAAATAGAATAAAAACAAAAAAAAAAAGATTACATCTGAAATCAAATCGTAAAAATGTAAATGGAAGATAATTCGACATAAGAAAACTTATTTGCTGTATCCAGAAGAGGGTACTTATAAACAAATAGACAATGTTTTAAGTATGGATGTTTTAAGTAGGATTAAGAATGGAAAAGCAACAAAAGACAACAAATGTTTTAATAAAATAGATCTTTAGTTTTAAAGTATTTTTTTTTGTACTTAAACTTTTTTTTGTTCTGGTAAAAATCAGTATCGTGTGGCCTTTATTTTTCTAAAGTTTCGCTTGCAAAAAATTCACCGATTCAGGGCGTGGACGACCCCACTGAAAAATTAATTGCTGAATGAATTTTTTTTATTTCCAGAAAAAATACCTTTTTAACCTTTCCGACTCATACTTTTTTAATACTGTAATTTCGATTAACACATAAGAAACATAATTAGCGCAATATTTTTTTGTCTGCGTTAATGATCATTTTGCACTGTTTGGGAACAGAACATTTTAAAATATTAATCGTAAATGTTGTGGTGGTCAGAGAATGGCTGGTTAGTGATTTTTAGATAACCGATTTCTTGATCTACACTACTTTTAAATTCTTAAGATTTTTAATTATTTCTGCTATAATTTTATCCACTTTGGTATTTCAGTTTTTTTAGATTTGTTTAATTAACTGCTGTTTTTTGCTCTCCTTAATAATTGAACAATACGGCAAGTTCGTAGTATTTAACATTCCGATTAATGAACTAAACTGAGTAAACTTAAAATTATTTCAGCAACTCTAAAGTGTCATTTATTTTATAACAATAACAATTATTCTTACCTGTTTGTTGGTTAAGTTTAATTTTTGAGTAGCATTTAGCATCACCTTTGCCGCATATACGAGTTGTTTTATTCTCTAAAATAAAAATAAATATTCATTATTTTAAAACCACTTTGCAATGTACTCGTAGGTATATAATAAAAGTGCCCATAACACTTGTGATTTCAGCAGTGGTGTTGTGCTAATTTTTTTTTTACCGGAACGCGTATATATAATTACATAGACGGGGCCGATCCTGGGTAGGCGGCCGCTCTGTGCGGTCTCATGTCCCAAATTTAACGACGAGGGGTTATTTTTATACGGTATGAGGATCCTTAAAATGCAATTGGCAATTCTTTTTAATTTTTTTTTCAATACGTCAGCCAGTTCTCGTTATCAGAAATCATCTTTAGTTCCGGAACGCGTTCCTGTCCAAAAAGGAAGTACCGGAACGACGTTCCGGAGCGTTCCCGCTCGACAACACCATTGGATTTCAGGCAATTGTCTATCTATGATCATAATTTGGTGTGACATTTTGCCATTTACAGAAATGCATTGCTAACGTTGTGTCTGGTATATGCGTATCATGTTTAAGCTTGAAAACTTGCAGTGACTTTGGCTGTTTCCGCCTACCGCATGAAGGATAAAGAGTAAAATAACATAAATGTCGCCTTTTATTTTTAAAGTAGGTGTAGAGCCGTGAATGCTCATACAAAAAGTCCGGGCGCTCGCTTCTAATTTAATATTTCGAGTTAGATCCCCGGTGCTGGCACAAATGAAATTGTTAATTTTAAGTGCTGACATCACTTATAGTAACAGCCTATATGTATCCCACTGTTGGGCACATACCTCCTCTATACAGAGGCTATTAGGGCATAGTTCACGACTACGGTTTGGTGGACTTTACATATCTTCGAAATATTTTTTTGTTATTATTTCAAAAATATGCAGGTTTCCTCATGACTTTTTCCTTCACCGCTGAGCGCGTGATATTCAATTTTAAGCATACTTACTAGGCATGTAGTATAGGACACATTTGCACTTATCCAACATTGATCTGGCTTCACACTCCATTTCACAGTTCCGCAACGTGTACGTCCTTAAATATATAAATTAATGCCTTAATTTAGGTCCCAATAATCCATTAAAGGGTTTCTTAAAAGGCACAATAGCACAGTGTCAACTGATCACAACTTGTAACGATTATTTTATTAGCGGTATGCGACAGGAATAAACGATTTAGCTTGTCTTACTTCCTTCATTACTTTGTAGTAAGTAAGAAAACCTCACAAAAGACCGATTTGAACTGGAAGAGTTATACTTCGGCGTTTCGTCTGGTGAGTGAGATAACCGGGGTACCTACATTTTATTAAAATCTTATCATTAATATAATAAAAAAGGTAAATAGCAGGTGTTTAATAACTGTGAATAGGTTCTGCGTGCTATGAAGATTTACATAGTACTTAATAATGAAAGCGAAATGCCATACAGCAAAGAGACAGAAGCCGTTATCATCGTCATCATTACAGCTGAACAAGGGCTTCCCCACAGACTGCTACGAAGCACGTTCCTCAGCCACCCGCACCATCGATTTCCCGAACACTTGCACTGGTCCTCACTCCGTCTAGTGGGGTGTCCTACTCTACGCAGCTACTTGAGAACTTTTCTTACCCATGGACAAGACACAAGTAAAGGCAGTGGCGGATTTATAGTCTTGGCCGCCCTAGGCCCCAGCCCATGTAGTAATTTCCAGCCGCCCCTTTCCCAGCGCCCATCATATATTTTATTATCATCGGTGCATTTTTTGTCACGATTGGCCGCCTCGAATATGTGGCCGCCCTAGGCCAGGGCCAATTGGGCCTTGGGGCAAATTCGCCACTGAGTAAAATTTGTATCACCTTTTTCAATACCTGTAAAAAACCAGCTCCTTTTCACTTGAGAAGAGACAAAGTCTTTTCTCGACGTCGATGTATCTTAGGCTAGGCTGGGCATCTAAAATCCTTGGTTGTATTGCAACTCGCGCTTCGATTCCCGGACCGTAGATCTCGCCGATCTTTGCTATGTTTGGTGTCTCCGTTGGATTGTGGAGAAGTATCTGAAATGACGGTTTACTGTCTATTTTTCAGATCAATTCATTTATCCCTAAAAAGCCTCCCACATAAGGATGTCTAAGGGGAGGGTCATGGTGGTCATGAAATTAGATTTTTCCCCCTTAAATTAGATTTTTTTTAAATATAATCTTATTTATAAATGTTCCATTTTATTTTTTTGGTAATTTTAAGAATGCTTGGCGATATCTAATGTGAAAGTTTGATCTACACATTTTTAAGTTTTATCTTAAGTGTAGTGAATAGCACAAAAAAAAAGATATAACTTTGTTCCTTATTTAAATAATATTTTAACATTTTTTATACAAGAAAAAATATTCATGTCCGATTATCGAAGAAAACAATTTTTTTTTTCGTTTTGAGTCAATTGTAAAACATTTTAAATTTGCAGTATTGGAGGCCTCAAATGTAGTAGTGATGATGCATTCGAAATACAACTGACCCGATTCTTTTGCTTTTTATTTCCCCAAATTGAACACAAATCAGTTTATCAAGGAAGGCTTGTAAGCGCAACCAGTAACAGAAAATAAGGAGTGATAGGTTGATATGGTATGGGCATGTGATGAGAAGGGATGAAAGACAAATGATGAGTAGTAGAAGACCGAGACAGATTTGGATGGACTGTGTGAAGAATGATGTGTATGTGAAAGGGGTGAGTATTAAGATGACGGCTAATTCAGGGAATTGAAAGGAAAGGACATGTTGTGCGACCCCACCTAGTGTGGGATAAGGGCAGAAGAAAGAAGAAGAAATTATACACAAACTCAAGGGCTTCCGATTTTTAAGACCGAAAATTGCAGTTTATTGGAGAGGTTCCTACTGAAGACTGGATTTACCGTTTGATTTGAAAGGTTTCAACAAATGAAAATGTGAAAACTAAGTAAATTTTTTGGAATCTTAAGATGTCCAGTTATCAAGTACAAAAACTCTGCGCGACATGTCACCGAGTAGGTACTTAGTGCCTTGGCCGCTTTACTCACTGAATCGATATGCTTGACCTTTTAATATCGAGTCCGTTGACTAAAAGGACGATCGACTGTGAATTATTAAACGTCTGATGAGAAAATAATCAGGTTTTAATTTTTTTTCAGTTGAATTTTTTCCCCTGCATGAACCTGAATCCACACGGGATAAAAATTGTCTGCTGCATAAGTTTTCCGGTTCTGGGCTTAATTTGTGTCCGTGATGTGGTTGCAGTTTTCAGGTTAAATTTTCTTTCACACACAGGAGTAATTTTTCTAAAATAAAAGAAAAGAAGAAAATCCAATGACGTATGGTAGATCTTTTAGTACTGACCTTGAAACCAGTGCTTTTCGTTGAGGCGCAGTAATATTCCCCGATGTTGGCGTCCAGGATTAGTGTTAAACCGTGATTAGTACCTACGCCTAGAAAGTATTTAAAATAAAAATGTATAAAAGTATTATCATCTATCCTAGTACGTGATTGTACTTAATTAAATTATAACAAGTCCAGCTTTAATAAAATTGACTTTTTTGTTATCTTATAAATATCTTCAATCAAATTACTTCATAGAAACATTAACCATATTAAAAAATGAAAACAGACGGACACGGGACACCGATAACAATTCTTTCTACGTCGTTATTTTCGTCCCAGCTGGGATCCGAACACGCGATGCTCGATCTTGAAGGCGATGGCTTAACAACTGCACCAGGGGTGGTCATTAATAACGAAACGGGTAGCACTGCAGGAGGTCCAAAGAAACTAATTTGAAAACCGTCATAGAGATCAATTTAATATATGAACGCACACAATTTAAGTCTAACGCACCCAGTTTCTGAAGCTCTGATCATCGTAGAAGTTAACTAATATGCTGTCAAATGGCTTCTGATCATTAAGAAAATCATTGATCAATTCAGAGAGTTTAAACATCCTTTTGGAAACTGAAATAACATTGAAAAGCCATTTGACAGCTGATTAGTTAACTTCAACGATGATTTTAGAAACCGGGCGTTAGTCTAAGCTACCGGTTAGAATTTTGAAATATCACTGAAATCAACACTGGGCTTTATAAAAATATTTTATTTATTAAGTAAGAAAAAAACTCCGATACGTAATAAATATGTTTCGAAGCAATTACCTTTGGGCTTCCAAGGAAATCCATCAGGTGGTGCATCCGAGGGGTAACCACCCTCGGGAGTCCAATCCACCGATGGTGACGGGAATGTCAAGTTCATGTCGTTTAAGTCTCTTCTGTATAGAAGGTAAGTACTTGATTTGAAGATTAGGACTTTGATTTTATTTCCTTAAAATTACCTTTTTGTTTACTGAATACTATCAGAATAATATCTATTTAGATTACATTTTTTAATGTGAAAAGTTGGTAGACACGCTGGCGGTCCACCTGTTGTTAAGTTATAACCGCGGTCCATTGAAATTTGCAACACCCATAGGGCTACAGATACCTTGCCACCTCTTAATAAAGTGGGCCCCGGCTGAGCTAAAATGCAGAAGTATAATACTTGAATTCACGCCGGTCGTCAGTGTTTTCGTGGTACTACCAGGATTGACCTGCTCATTCGTGCAAGAGCGAGGACTTGGTCGACTTGGTCGGTTGGAGGTAGGAGCGAAAAAATGCTTTATATTTTGACAATTATTGTGAGTTGCAAATAAATAAGTATAAAGTAATTTATTGAGAAACCTATTCGTTTTCTTCAAATTTATTTTATTCAACATTTTTCTTTGTAAAAATTAGGTAGAGCTCTAGATCTTAACTCTTCCAAAATTATTTACTCTGTAAGCTCTATTAGGAATAACTCACGTACAGTACTAAGACGCTGTTTTTTATTATTTATGATGATTAAAATTACACGTACGGATTACGAAACATGTTGTCGCGGTGGACTACGTTGAAGGTGCAGCAGAGTCCCTCGTCTGTGAGCTGCGCGTTGAACAAGTCCTGGCAATTCATGCTTCGCGAGTCCCACAAACACATTGCTAGCATCTCATTGCACGGTTGAGTCACCTAGACATATACGACCGCTTGCCAAGTTATTGTGAAGCGCCGGTAGCTCAGTTAACAGCAAAGTTTTTCATTTCTTAGTTCATAATTAGTATTTAACGACATTCGGGACGAAGACCGTAAAAATGTTATTTCAATAATGGTCTAGTATTATTTTATAGTATTAAATAGTATACATATTACAGAACAAGTGAATTATTTTTAATCATAATTAAAATATTTGTTAATAACGATGTAAAGAAATGCTAGCAACCATATAAAAAGGGAAAAAAAGGGTACAGCGCTATTCTATTCGGCAGCGAAAAGCTTAACAGGCGGGTATATAGGAATGTCAATACGAGCAAAAAGGAAAAAAAGCTGGCTGGAGAGGGAGGGGCTGGGGGGGCTCGCCTTGTGCCTCTACTCGGTATTAAGAAGAGATTGCCGAAGGCTCGGATGGTGCGCACACCATATCTAGTACGTTAAATGCGAACAGCTCATAGTGCAAGCCGTTGTGTCAATCCTTGACGACTCCCTTCTCGTACTCACATTACATGTTATTTACCAACCGAACATTAATGTGACCATTTGGAAACGTAGACTTTACAATTGGTTGTTACATAAGCATATGGTGCCGTATAATGTAGTAAAAGGCGCTAACATTTATGAGAAAGGAGCGAGTGTAGTCCCAGTTAGCGCTTTCAGCTATTTCGTCTTCGAAAATATCTGCATCAGCTTGTGACGAACATAGACTGTTTAATAACTTCTTGTCTAGTGAGTCCCTGGAAAATTAAGTGTGTAATTTCAAATAAGTTGAAAAAATCTATTATCGTCAGGAAATCCTTGAAAGATAAGTGGATATACGTGCCCCATTTTTACATAAACAAATACGAATCGATAGAAACTGTTTTAGGAATCAGACTTCGAACCATAACATAGTTTCCATAGACGTATTCTGAAAAAAAGTGTGCGACTCTACCGTAAATAGTAAAATTTGATCTTCCAGTTAATTCTTAATCATAATCCACCATATAAATTGTTTATTCTCTGTCAACCATATTGTTATTTTCTGTCCAAAACTTAATCTAGAATAGATCATAAAAATACTATGATATCTGCAAAGAACAACTTGTAAAGCTCATGACTAGCTTCTGTCCAATATCTTGGGTCGCCAATTGGTAGGTAGGTATGATATATAAGTAATTAAGGGTAATAAATAAAGTAATTAAATAAAGTAATAAAGGTTAATAAATAAAGTAATTAAGGGTATAAGTAATTAAGGGCAAGGAGTTTAATTACAAAGTTTAATTACCCAGTGTTAATATAACGTTCGGCCACAGATTTTTTTGCTTGGTTTACATTGCATATGGTAAGAGCAGGAAAAGGCAAGTCTTGTAAACGCATGTTCTCCGGATTGATGCTCACAATCATCGGCGATAGACGCCATTTGTTATACACGTTTAGGATGAAGAAAGCGGCGCAAATCAGTGAGGAGCAGAACGATGCAAGCCAGAAAAACCTGTAATACGAATAATGCCCAAAGCTGACTGATATAATGCTTGTTAACGATGGATGGTATTCGATATGGGATTCTTGGTTAAATGAAACCATTTTACGGATTTTATCGCTTTTTATTTTGATTTTAAATTCCCGAAGATTCGAACCCTTTTCAGTGCTCATCCTAACAAAATTGTTTCATGCAGGTTTAAATAGGGATTGAAAGCCTTAATGAAGTTTTAGATTTTTTTTGATAAAATCATAACAAGCGATATTTTACCCTTTTGTTAAGCTCTTGCAAATGGAAACTCCCACTCTTAACATGTTAAGGTTATGTTATTCGTAAATACTGATCCGAAATCACACTGAGGATGTCTAGAATATAAGTAAGTCGAAATATGCTAAACGATCATAATTACATTTTTCACTATTTTTCATTTCTATTAAAGTTTTAATAGCATTATTTTAATTTTTGTCATAAAATATATGTGTTGGTTGCTGCTACCTTTAATTTGATTTTAAGTTGAATGAGGCAGCAATGTACTTCGAATTTGACGTTACAATAGTTCTTTTATTATATCTTGTCTATTGTATCTTTTGATTAAAACTTTGGATTTAAGTGATGTCAAATAAAGAATATTTCTTTCTTTCTTTCAGTATTGCCGCTAAATTTTGTTAACAAACATATAAAAAAACATTGGTTTGGTATTTGAAGTGTAGAGTATTCAATTGAACGTATAATGAATTTACAAACCTCTCCAGCCATGTCAATTTCCTGTCTCCGATGTACCGAAGACCGTGCAAGGTTGACGTTTGTAAGTATTCTCTGAGATCCTTATTGATGGATTCATAGCCTGTTAAATATTGAACAGGCCTTTCCTGCAAATTATTGTACATATTTATTAAAAGTTTGTGGGCAATGTCATGTTATAACATAATGTTATATACGGCTTTAATCATCTCTTAAACCATAACCTCCTCCAATCTTTCAGACAATGCAAAATTGCGTATTTGTTTTGATTAAATATTTGCACATGCTGTATACTTTTATATCAATGGTGTTTATGTGCATTTAAAAGAAAAGTTCCAAAAATTCAATGACTCCCAAAATTCAGTTACTTTAAAGCAAGCACTAAGCTTGTATAAAATTATATGTATTATATAATACATAATAATTAATCTACCTGGTAGTTGTTCAATATTTTCGTATCCCATTCATACCAGGGTGAGGGTTCCGAGCGCTTCTGGGACATCCAATAGTTATCCTGGATAATAAGCGTAAAAAGTAAGCATAGCACATCGTGCCTTAGATTTTTTCTACACTAGTAATTAATGTCACTATTTACTTTTAATTTTTAAACTCTCACTAAGTGCCAAAAGTGAGTTTTGTATAATAAGTAGGCATTTACGCAGTGAATTTTGTACGTAGAATGAAATTTGTAAGAAAATAACACCAACTCATAAGTTGCGGAAGCATTCATTAGCATTAGAGATCTGTATGACAAATCTGTAGTAACGACAAATGTCCCGAGATTTCACGTCCGATTACGATACGTAAATTTCCGTGTATTGTCCAACGCCCTTAGCCGAAATTTTTTTTGCCTGAATTTTTGAAGTATATACGATGAATGTATATTATGTGATGTTCATATGATTCGTCACGAATTTTGCTTTAACGATTGATTAAAATTTGATGCAATGGGGAAAATGTTTATTATTAATGAATGGTGCAGAAGATCTATTTTATTATTTGTAACGTTAAATTGTATTATGTAATATGTGCTTTAAAAAGTAAAAAAGAATAATATTTTTAATTTGCGTACCTTCCTAAAAGCGGAATGCGATGTAGCCTTGCGTGGGCGAATATCAAAATCCTTTGACGCGTACATCATTTCAAAATATGTATAAGGATTGATGTTGACGTTGAAGACGAATATTTGAAATGAATATTCTGGAAACGAGTAATTTCGTGCCGTGAGAATAGAGCATACAAACTAATGACAAACCGATGGAGGTTTTACAAATTGGACCTCCATAAGCCAATTCCGCACGGTCAATGTTTTACCACCGATCGCTTGATTGCCCTAATCTAATGATAGATCGAGCGAAGCCGCCTCCGCTGTTTGACCACAAAATTATACATTTTCCACTTGATTCTTGTAATTGTAATTCCTGCACAGCTAATTTAAATAATAACACATTCACTTTTTCGTTTTGTAGAATAAAGGGCGATGGAATTTATTTGATTAGTACTTATGCATGTACAAAATGGTATTTTGAAAGCTATAATTATTAGAGATGAAAAATATATATGTATAGCTTTAAAAGTGCAAGCATTGTTAAATAAGAAAATTTGAGCGATGATAGATTTTGTAGCATGAATATTTTTATTAAACATAAACCTTTTAAAATCCGTTTCTACTACACAAAAAACTACTCGAAACGATTTTATGTAACATTGTCAACGCCTATAATAAACTGTCTGATATCCGACGGAGTTATTAAGGGTTAACGAGCGACAATTTTTCCGTGTATTTGTTATTATATAGTTATCAGATGTTTCAACACGAATGGCATACCATGTCATGCTGTGTTGTGTTATTTGTAATTAATTTGAATACCGTTGACGGTTCCGTGTTACAAAAAGTAACAAAAACATAGTTAAGAGTCAAAAGTAGTGATAAATAGCTCAGCAAATAAGTGTACCTATTGTAAAAGTATTGCATGTAATTCAAAAATTTGAACATACTAAGTTTAAGCTAATTTCTCCAAGATTTTGATAATGTGTTTGATCAACATTCCTACTACCTTTATAATATGAGCCGTGATAGCTCAGTGTCCAGGCGCTCGCCTTTAATTCAATATACTCGAGCAACCTGAGTTCGATCCCCGGTGCCGGCACCAATGAAGTTTTTAACTTTAAGTGCTGACTTATCACGTGCTCGGCGGTGAAAGAAAACATCGTGAGGAAACCTGCATATTTTCGAAATAATAACAAAAAAATATATATTTCGAAGATATGTGAAGTTCGCCAATCCGCAGTGGGGTCGCGTGGTGGACTATGCCCATGATACCCTCTGTATAGAGGAGGCCTTTGCCCAGTAGTGGGACATGTATAGGCTGTTACTAGCTTATAAGGTAAATATGCAAAATATTTGATGTTAAAATATGTCAAAATATTTGGGCTATAAAAAGGCAGACACCGCCGACATGATATGAGAGTGGTGCCAAAGTTCTAATCGGTGCTAAGAGACGTGATATCCAGAGAACAAGTAGCTTCGATGGTGAATACTTCAAAGAAACCGATTCTTCCGAATGTGACGAACACGTCTGTCCATAAGTGGCGCCTGAAAACTCAGATACGATTTTAAGGTTCCGTACCCAAAGGGTAAACCGGGACTAAGACTCCGCTGCCTGTCTGTCTGTCCGTTTGTCACCAGGCTGTATCTCATGAACCGTGATAGTTAGATAGTTGAAATTTTCACAGATGATGTATTTCTGTTGCTGCTATAACAACAAATACTAAAAAATAGAATAAAAATATTTTAGTGGGGCTCCCATACAACAGACATGATTTTTTTGCCGTTTTTATAGAAAAGCGTACAGAACCCATCTTGCGTGTTTCCGACTTGCACTGAGCCGGTTTTCTTATATTTTCTGACACCAGCCATTTTTTTATGTGAAAAAGTGGCAAACTAGAAATTGGCGGATAATTGAAGGCGAATAAGGCCCATGGACATTTGCAACACCCTTAGGGTTGGAGATGCGGTGCCACCTTTTAATAAAGTGGGTCCCGGCTACCTCACTCACCAGACGAAACGCAGAAGTGTCACACTCCTAGTTCACGCCGGTCTTCTGTGAATTCGTGGTACCTACCAGGTTGGACTTGCCCATTCGTGCATCAGCGAACACTGTTACATGGTCGTAACACAGTTAAGCACATTCCACCGACAGACGTGGAGAAGAGTGTTAGAGCTGTAACTTATGGGCTCATACCGATTGTGCAGGGCGAGAAAGCCAATATTACATTTGAGGTTTTTGTCGTTAATTTACGTATATTCTCACTTGATAGAAATTTGCATTAGAATATATAGATTTATTAATATTATTTTCAATTATTCCATAGTGTATATTGGTAAATAAATAAGATCGATGATGTTTTAATTATATTTATAGTCCTTATTTTTTTTTACATGGAACTTCAAAAACAAGATGGGGCATCTCTTGTTTGCGCTTCGCACTGTCGGGCACAGTGCTTGTTATAAGTTTGATAGAACCTAAATAAAAAGAGTCACGCATGCGACGTACGTTTCATTTCACTATCAGTTCATTTATATTTATCAGTATTTTTTTAAGTATACGTTGTCTTCTTCGAGAAAAGATACCAAGTCCATACACATAATCTATATTGAGTGTCGTCTGTGTAGTGCTGGTGCTACAATTACACTCGAATTAAAAATAACCTACAATTAAATTTATCCAAGAAATCCGGTTAAGAAACTACATACACGACAATAAAAGCGAACGGTTGGACACAATTGAATTTGACTATATTATAAAATTAATTTAAATTGAGAATTAGGTATGTGAATTTAAATCTTCCCAGTATCCAATTACCAAATTTATAATTAAATGGGTATTATATTGCTTCGATACTTTTGCATTTAATCGGCTGTTTCTAGTAAAAATAAAAAAGCACAGTAAGAATAAGGAAGGTTTTTTTTTGGCAACAATTGCAAATGCAAATACAGCATGTTGACATTTCTGAGCTCAGCTATAATTAAAGCAATTGTCCATTTTAATACACTATTGATCTTTTTTGTAAGTATGTGTGTAAGTATATATATTAAATATTAACTTTCCTATAATTTGTAGCACACATTATTAACATCTGAAGGTTCTAATACAATAGTTTTATAAATAAGAACTAGGATCATAAGCTGATATGAAAGAAATATCTTTTTTATGAATGTTTAATATAAATTAATAAAACATTCATTTTAAAAATTAAAAAAAAAAACGATGTATTTGGCTTTTTAATGGTTTTTCCTTTGCGGATTATTATAATCTTGTTTATATATATACTCCTCCTAAATGGCAGGACCGATTTTAATGAAAATTTTTGTTTGTCTTCAGGTCGATTCGAGAATGGTTTAGATTCTGGTTCTAAACCATTTCTGGTTCTGATTCGAGAATGGTGCTGGACAACGTCTGCCCGCTCTGATAGTCTTGTATAAAACAATGGGTGAGAGAGTAGAAAAAAGTCACCTTGTAATTTTTCGATTTTATATAATTCGTTTATAATGCATATATAAAATAATTAATATTTACAAAATTATTTGTTTCGATAGAAATTTATAAAAGTAACAAAAAAGCCGAAGTAGAAGGAGAGGCTGACGCACTTGCACTTTGAATAGTTCCTAAACGAAGAGGAGATCGAAGGAAGAAAGTAAAGGGGGCATCTCGACGTAATTCTAGTTCGTCACAGATTCGCTGCCATCGCACCACGAGCGACGGGCTAGAGCTGCGTCCAGTGAGCCCTGAAGGAGAAAGGGGAGAAAGTTTTCACCAGTGCTGCTGGGGAGAGTGGGAAGGGGCTCCGTGTCCGGCTTGCGCGTGCGCTGCAAGGTGGGCAGCACGCGCTGCGGCCACCTCAGGGGTCTCCAAGATTCCGTTGCCGTTTTGGGCTAGCCTGATCTGGGCGGGGGGTCCCTGCCACGAGGGGGCACCGTTCCATTGGGAGGAGGGGGCGTTCCACTGCTGCTGGGCAGGGGCGTTCCACTGCTGGCCGGCGGGCTTGGCGGCGGAGAGGGCGGCGAGGTGGGCAGCACGTGCCTGCGCTACTTCGGGGGTCTCAGCGACGGGTGCGGGTGCGGCACCAGCGGCGTTCCACGTGGGGGTGGCGGGGGCAGAGTTCCACGAGGGGGCGGCGGGTGCGGCGTTCCACTGGTTGGAGTGGGCACCGTTCCACGAAGAGGCGGCGGGGGCACCGTTCCAGCTACGCTGTTCGTTGTTTTGCCAGTACTCTTCGTTGTCCCATCGGGGATCGTATGAGCCATCGTCCTGCGGGTTGGGGTTGTTCTGCGACGCCTGTTGCAGCGCGGCGATGTGGGCGGCGCGCGCCTGAGCCACCTCGGGTGTTTCCAGGATGTTGCGGCCGTCTTGTGACAGGGCGATGTTGGCGGGCGGGCCGCCCAGCCGGACGCGTGTGCGCCACACGCCAACGCTAAGCAAGCTACTACGATCTGTGGGCAAGGCGAATGGCAAGGTATAATTAAACTGCAAGTGTGTATTTATTATGCGTTTACAAATTCGTTTTACACCAGTCTTACTGGTACGACCTCGTGTTTGTTATTAACAGCATTGCGTTTAGCTTTACCAACTAACTATATCCAACATTAACATGTTATTCATAGTTGTTGCTGTAGTTGCGGCGCTTACTCTGGTTAGATTTTATTTGAGCACTATGATAAGTCATAGTTTACACTTAAAGTGATTTGTTTCTGCGTATTTTGCTCTGGTTTTTTCGAGGTGTTTATAAACATTAAATGTTAAGTATACATTATAGTATTTGTACATTTATGTTAACAAATGAACGCAAAGTTCATTGCATGTATTATACATAAACTGAAATAATACAATTTTAATTATATTATAATTTTAATATTTATTAAAATCCTACTATGCTTATTGCCATAACATAACAACGGTCATTTTTGTGCAACTGTTGTAGCGATTGTGTATGTCATATAGAACTTTTTTTTATAATTAACATTCACAAAAAAAGTTGTGCTAAACAATAGTTATAAATAAACATTATGCTTCCATTTCATAAATCTTAAATGCCTACATTATATGGGTTTGAGATGATAATATTTTCAAAAACAATAGATCAAATCGTAAACCTGTTCAAACATTGCTGACCCAATGAATGTTTATTTTAATGAATTAAGAAATTAATAGTTTTTTAAAATTAGCCTTTAATTATAATTGATATGAATGTGAGTTATTACAACCGCTTATGTTATATTAGGATCGATTGATGTGTGGATTACGTTTTAAATCGAAATCTTTTTTGTTGAACTTAACGTAATTATAAACAGTAGTGCATTTAAGATAGACATGATTCTATCTGTTGTATGGCTTTATTAGGTAATAGAATTAGACTATTTGGACCGGGTGGAACAAAAAAGAAATTAAACCAATTTAAGACCAACATGATGAGTGCACCAGAATGGTATTTGCGGCAAGATCAGAATCACGTAACCATGTCATGGCTTGTGGTCTGGTTGACCGAGCGCGATCGCTTAGCCCTGGATCGGGCAAGTTGAATATTACTTACCTAACACTGTATTTATGCTGTGAAATGTATTGATTTACCTATCAAGAAGGCTATGCCAGATAAATGTCGGAACATTTAATCCTACACTGCAATTCTGTCGTATTAATGTTCTCTTAGATTCTGTTCGTAACAAATACAATGTTGAAATTATTTTTCAGTTATATTTAATACGATAAAATTCGTAGAGCCTTGTTGAATTCTTTTTCACTAACGAGCATATATTATCTTTTGAGAAGCGCTTTCAACATATTAAAATAACTTTTTTGTAGCTTGACGCGTCCACAATAAAACAAACGTTTTATATTGTGTTTTCGCTTAGAGTTAAAAAAAATTGTAATGGTTGCACGATGTGTTACAAAATTTGTGATAAAAATCGAGCATGCGTCTGTCTACAATGATGGGAAAAGTTATTCGCCCTTGATTTACTCCGGTTATAACTGACATGGCCAAATGAATGCAAGACGAAGTCTAGAATTGCGGGCAGCTGCAATTACGTTAACAATACTTTAAATAAGCAAGGATACGTAACTATGATAATAAAGATAAATAATAATATAACTTGCTGAGTACGGAGTAGTCGGTATACATGCTTTCATTAACAATTCATTAGGGATAAAAGTGAGCAATCGAAGCAATAAGTGAATGGCACCAAGGTCCGAAGGCCATGTGAAGGTCATGAAGCAGGAAACTAGCCTTCCGGACCTGCCCACCGTCACATTCGTCGACTGGTTACCCTCGCTTGTCAATTTGACATTTACTTTTCTATTTCTTTAATGGGAAACAACTATAAGCAACGTTTTGTTTTCAATTCTTTCAGGGCCTTAACAAAAGAATCCTAACGCGTAGAATGTCTTATTCACGGATACTGTGGAACGGTCATAATTTTTTATCTAGTGCGCTTGTGTCATTTCCAAAGTGTCCTAGTATTGTCTGCCTTTGTCTGCCTTATTCGATTCGTTTTTCTAGCTATCAATCGATTCGGTGTTTTAATAAGATAATATTGATTTATCGGTTAATTGGAGGAGGGCGGTGCGTGGGTATGCCCTTCTAAAGCGGCGTACGATTGAATGCAGGCAAAAACACTTATTAAGCGGCGAGGTAAGTAGCACAAGAGAAAAATTCTAATGGGTGTGCCCACTCTACCTGAGTAAAGGATCTTGAATCAGATGGAACAGTACAACTGTTAAGACGTAAACTGATGTATAAATGTTATAATAGAATTTAAAATTAGGTTAGGGGCGATTTGCTATCTTGCGGGTTGTTGTTTGTAGTAGTTGAGAGGATTGGCACAATTAAAATTTAAAATGGCGTCATTGAGACCGGTCCTGTTGACATTGTAAGTAAATAGAGCACTTCGATGGATAAAGGGTGATAGCCGTCAGCATTCGCCGTCATATTTGGTGGGCTGATGTGGGAGTTATGCCTTGCCTTGCACCACACTCATCAACACCTCGTCACAGCGACGCTGACATTTCATGTTGCTCACTTTTACGTGAATATTATCACTGGTACTTTTGAATTCCTCTTTTGTTACACTTCTCGACAAATATTTGCATACAAAAGAATAATTTGCAGTACTGTACGGATTCAACTTTTACGTTTTTGTTGGTGTCAAAGTGCAAACTACACTCCATTGATATTTGGAATCTTGTGTGACTCGAATAAAAATAAAAATGACGAAGAGAACAAAAGACTACTGATTTTTCGTTCTTGAATCGACGTTTAAAGATTAATCGAAATTTACGGGGCTAACTATTGAACTGTTGGCCAATCATAAAACATCATTGCCAAGACACGCATAGGTAAGCATTAATGGTCTCACTTAACAACGGACTTAACTTTCAGCCACATTGACTCACGTAGGACAACGTAAATGTAGTTCGATTTGTGTTTATCCAATTTACACTTTTAACCTTGCTACGGTAAACAATCAATATTTTTTTATTGTAAATTGGTGCCGAGCTATTTGGTTAAGTATGACTAATGAGATTTTGTAGGATAATGTCATGTAAAAATTCGTACATTATTTTCTTCTTTGCAAACGAATTCTTAATATATATCGGACATCTGCACATCCTTTTATCTAAATCAATTTATAAAAATTTTAATTTCTCTATATTTTTAGTTTAATATTTTGGCTTCATTATACCGTGATAAGACTGTTTTCTAGATTTAAAAATGTGGGGCAACATGAGAAAAATTTTAGGAACATTATGACAATGACCTGGCAGTCGCGTGCAAGGCACGCGTTGCGCGACCGACCGGTAAATTCTAAATTTTCGACACAAGCCTAGTTATTTACGCTACGCCCGTTGTCTTTAATTTTTAATTGCCGGAATTTAAAGCATACCCATTTAAATGTTCATGATTGCAGATAAATTTGAAATGGATTATTTCCCTTAGGATGGTATACAAAACCGAAAAAAAAATTGTGTCACTTTGTATGGTATACAAAAGTACACTAGAATTTTTCTAAAAAATATATAGATATTCATATATGATATAGATTTGGAATTGAGGATGTAAATGGAATTGTGAATCAATAATATTAAGATGAACTTGTGCAAATCATAATTAGGATGAAATAATTTTATTTCCTTTAATCAGTAAATGAACTCATACCGTAACTTATTTAGTTAAATATCAAAAACGTATAGGGATAGTACTTGTTAATTTCTAAAATGACGAGGATATTTTCTATCAAGAAAGAATTTATTTTAAAATGATAGTTAAGAAATAACTTTCGCAGGTGTTTCCAAGCACCGTGACAGCGTTCGTTAGATCATTTGACTTGATAAGAGGTCTAGTAGAAATGATCGCTTGAATGCAGGCGAAGTGTGACCAAGTATCTTGGTCGGTCAGGATCGATAATAAATTAAGTTATTGTAAACGAAAATGTGCTCTGACGTGTCGTTTATCAATGGACAATAACTTTAGGCGTAACAAATATAACTGCTTACTCGCGATATTAGTATTGGAATTTGACTCAAACCTTATGTTATTATTGGACACTTTTTTTGTATTATAATATCCTTAATCCTTAATATTAAATAAACTGTGAAAAGCGAGAAGGAAAACAAGTGTAATGAGAATAAGAGCACTTACCATGGATTTCATTATTGTGAAGAAGTGAAGCACAAAGGCGAAAGAAAGAAAAGGATAGAAATATAGTATGTTAAAGAATCAGTTTTATTTATAGCGCTGATGGAAGACCAGTGTCCTCCAGGAATCGCTATGTTGGAGGTGCAACTTGCGTCTGTGCAAAATGAGGGCGGGTGTGCGCTTTTATAGTCGGTGCCTGAGCAGAGGGGGTGCGGCAACTCTGGTTTGCTTCTGATCGTGAAAGTACTGGGGCATGCCGCTGATTATAGCGAATATCATGATACACATTTCAATGGCGCTCGGTGGATTTTTCGGCTCATTTCTGTGTGTGAACTGGTGGTTAGAGTTCGCTATCGTACTTTGTGTTTTTTATTGTATAAAGTTTTAACTTTAATTTGTGTCTTGATTAGAATTTTCTGTACTATCTTTGGAAAAGGATGGTGTTGTCTCACATATTGTATCAATGTTTTGTTATTGGTTTCTTTCTGTGGTTATTTTAAATGGAATAAAACTGATATATAAAACTCGGTCCGACTAAAGGACAGATTGTCAAGAAATCTTCAAGATTTTATGTGATTGGTCAAATAACTGAATATATTTTTTAAGTTCAAGGTTTCTATGTGTCAAAGATTTAGCATGATATGAGGTTTTAATGATATTTTTGTTAATATGCTACTTTAATAAGTATTATATAATTATTCTTCGAATCATTTATTTTAGTATCAAAAGTTTTTGTTGTCTATGACAGTTTCGTGAGTGTTTTAGGTTTTACTAAATTTTAAACTATCCTTACGTGAGAGTGTGTAATATTACTTTCGGAAGATAATACGATAAACTTTATAGCATTTACCTTTTTATTTAGTTTTAGATTCCATTTACTGTTATAAAAATCACGTTTTTTTAATTATTATGAACTTAGAAATTAAAATTCTGAGTCGTTTATCTTTCACGTTGTTAAACACAGGTGTCAGTTGCATCCAGAGATTGTGTAATGACATCATAAGTTATTTTGATGGGTTGAGCGAAAACAAAGCGATTGTATGCAGTAATTTATATATTTTGCTGTTCCTACTAATAACTGCCCCAGCTACTAATTTTAAAGTATCCACTATATGGACTGCATTTAAAGACCCGACTTAACACAAACTAAAATGTAAATTGTATCATTGATACCTAATACCTATATACTTAAAAATTAAGTTAAAAAATATTCACGGTTGCGTGTGTAACATTTTTAATGAATATTATGTAATACTACTTACTGTGATTTGGGTCAGGCCCCCATCGCGTTCCCATGAAAGTGACATTAATTGTGTAACAAATAAGCTTTTTCCAACACGCGTATAAAATCATTAATTGATTGTCTATGCTAACAAGCAACAAGTATCCGATGTGTAAACAAAACGTAATCGACATAGTTAATTAATTAAAATTATAATTGCGGAAAATGTAGGTAGTTAATTTTCCGGTTCATTCGCTTTATAAGGGAAAGGAAGTACTTTTTTGTGCTATGTGGCATTCCAGTTTGTCTTTCCTTAACGAAAATATAATATTTGCGTAATTTCGATCATTCGTCGACTTCTATTAGTAAGTGACGGTGAAAATTACGTCAAGCGTCTTCAATGGTAGGTACTTAAGCTTAAGTCTTCAATTCAATTTCTTTTTAAAATACCACACCGATGTCATATTTTTCCATTCCTTCCATATGCAAAAGAATGTGGGATGTGATCCTCATCCTTACTTCGACTACTTTATGTCCAAATTCACAATAACAATTGTCCGTGGGGTCCCAGCATATAAAACCTTTCAAAGAATTATGTCCTCTACCATATGTTGCGGTTGTGATGAGGGCCGCTTATTTTTTTTATGTAAGTGGTAAACGAGCTGATGTTAAGTGATTACCGCCTGCCCATGGACATTTGCAACCCCCGTAGGGTTGCAGATGCGTTGCCACCTCTTAATAAAGTGGGCCC